GAAGAAGAAGAAGAAGAAGAAGAAGAAGAAGAAGAAGAAGAAGAAGAAAAACTATTACAGCAATAACAACAACCACAACAACAACGGCAATAGCAGCAAACAACAGCAGGAAGAACAAAAATAATAGTAAAACAAGCAATACTTCACATGAAAGCGATCACTATTGAGAACACTTACTTCTAAGTACCGGTTCTCACAGTTCCACAAACGATGAGATATCCCAACAATGGCATAGAATTTTTAAAAAAATTAAAAACACGCGATAGCCTAAGTCTGCACGTCTTCCGTTTAGGTCGTCATGCCACAACTAAAATAGAAAGTACACTTGTATACGGTTTAGGGGCCAGTACGTCGGCAGGCAGGCAGATCAACTAGATTCACTTTCCTAACCACGCATAACGTCAAGTGACCTCGCACCGAATTCCTGTCTTTTTTTTTTTATTAGACCTGTTCAACGCGTGTGTATTCCCAACCTTGCGATGTCGTTTCCCAGGAAAACGACACTTTACAGTCCTTTACTTAGAGATTGTCATCGAGTTCTCACGTCTTTTAAAGAGGGCTTTTTCCATAATTTTCTCTTTGTTTTTTTTTTGTTTTTTTGTTTTTTGTTTTTTTTGGTATCATTATTCAAAGTCATTTCTATACCATTCCATAGAATACACTTGAATCCAAAGCTTCATGTGAACACCGCAGTTATACACCTAGCACCGGCCCACGAAAGAGAATCTTGACTCATTCGGTGTAACCAGTCCTAAGATCAACAATAGATCCCAAATTTGTAAATTTATATTAGAAAAGTAAGAACCCAACAATGTGAGGAGATCTGTAAAATCTATTTCTAACATAGAACTGTATTTTAAAAAAGAAAAACACCACCACCACCATAACCATTACCACCACCACTACCAGCACTACCACCTCCACCACCACCACCGCCACCTCTAACAACAACAACAGCAATAACAGCAGCAGCAGCAGCAGCAGCAGCAGCAGCAGCAACAGCAGCAGCAAAAACAAAGACAACTGCACAGCACCGGTACCTTATTCCGGGAAAGTATGATAATGTGTTGAAAATATAATTTTGATCCTGGCAGTCACCCCATAACCGCATGTAAATAGCCGTCAATTTTATTTTGTGTGCG